AATTTTACTTTTAGTCGCAAAGGTTTTTTCCCCTAAATTTCTCCCTTTCTGCATCTGTCCAGAATGCACTGATTTATGATACAAATGACAGCAAGATTCAGGTATCTCCCTCACATGGTCATTCATCTAATGATTTTGAACAGTGATTAGCAATAGGGTATTCAAAGACTTAGTGCACCCAGGACTGTCATGACCCATTATACACATAGGTTCACTTTCCTGCAAAAGGAGTCAGGAGATAGGAGTACAGAGGAGTGATCGGGAACAGGAACTCATGTTGGTTTATTTTCTGTCTTAAACCAGAGGCACTGTGCCATCACTGGCTGAGATGAACTATGATAGAACAGACCAAAGTTTTGGAGAGGAGTTTAATTGATCTTTCCGATAGTGAAAATGTAGTGTCTAATTAAGCATTGCACTTTGTAGATGAAGCTGAATTAGAAGCTCAAACTATCATTGCTTAATGCTTCAGATGTGAATTTTAGGAAAACAAAATTTAATATGCCAATTCTTGTTCGCTCTCTTGTGTAGAACTTGCATAACAATAATTCCAGGAATTAGGATGGGTGGTCAAGGGTTGTTGTTTATTCTGGCAAAATATTCTTGTGTGTAATCATTTCATTTTTATTTGAGCTAAGTGTGTATTAATAAGTGTTACAACCCATGACTGAACAATATTAATGTTGCAAAATCACATTGTTTTACGTTAATTGTTGTAGGTTCAATTAATAGTCGATATTAATAAATGGATTTGCACATTTGTGCATTTTGGAATTAAACACGTATTGCAAGGGTAAATCTTTAAATGAATGCTTACAAGGCTATACTTGCTACAGTCAAATGCAATGTATCCAGAATACTAGGGGTTAAGGTTTGCATTTTGGCTGAAGCCCACACTGCCAGTTGGATACTCTGTTAGATCAGGCCTGAGGCATGTCATGTTTATGTGTAATTATTTCCTGTCTCCACTAAATGGTGTTTTGTCTCTTTGTAAATATCTAGTTTTCTGTCTGTCAGGTGCAATGACTCCCACTCTATCTCCTGCCTACATAGGTTAAGGTGGTTAAAGAGTGCCAATTTTTCCCACATGTTTTACTTATTTGCCTGTGATTAAATGTACACTAATTTATATCCTGAAAGTGGCCTTTGAGGCATTGAAGATCATCAAATGCACTGGCACATAGGGCTACTTCCATTGTGCAAAGACCCAGGGCTACACATGGAACAGCTTTGAAACCGCATTGTGGCATTATTTTATTCTGCCTTTGTGGAAGTGAGTGAATACGTAAATAAGACATTTTACACTTGATATAAATTATCTCTTAAATTTTTTTAAAAGCACCTAAATTGACCCAAGCACTGCTATTTCCATATGAAATGCGTGTCTGAAATCAATCATTCCAGATGCGACCTTAATTCTATAAACCGGTTATGACTTCATTGTTTGCAAGTTCAAAAGCCAGTCACTTATGGAATCATTTCCATATCTCTTGAATGTATTTGTATGTATTAATCAGATATGGGGCTCCGGCTTCCAGTGTAGCTTATATAGGAATAATAAGTTATCTGAATCTACAGGTAGACATAAGCAAAATTGAGCCACTTTGCAAAAACTCTCCTGTTGACATTTGGGAGGTGGGTAAGGAAACTGTTGTACTTGACAGATTTTATCATCCATCCGTGGATAAAATAGACATGAGCCGCCCACATATCTTTATTATGTATGATGTATATAGTCAGTCTTGTTATGACAAATCCATGGGGTCCAATAAAAGGAGTTCTTATCTGGGATTCATCTTGTTACGGTCTGAGCTCCTCTGCTGACTATAATAAGGCTGCTTCTGGGACTGAAGGAAAGGTCTGTATTAAGTTTTTTTTAATGAGGTTAAGCTATATGAATGAAGTCAAGTTCAAAGGCACAGCGCTTCATTTTGTGATTTACCTTGCTTAAAGACAAAGTCTATTATGAGTTATTCATTTTACCCTTCTAATTATTCTGTAAATGTTTTTTATTTAAAGGTAAGCCTTCAGAAACTCAATGCTCACAAAATTCAGTGTTCTGTATGGAAAGCAATGTGACTTTAGCTGGTTAATTTCCTACAGTGCCCCCAATGCACACTCTGGGCTCCCGACACCTTGGCTTTTGCCTAATATTCTCTGAAATTAGCTAAGCGAGGTGGGTCCTTGCAGGTACATAAGAGTGTGATATAGTACCTTTAAGGACGGTGATGAGTTTCCTCACATGTCAAATAGCAGCTATCGAAATAAAATCACCCTCACATAGCAACATATCAGGAGACTAATTCGCTAATTCATCTGTGGCCGCCAGTATGCGTCTAAGGAATTGAAGATTAGTTGAACAAATATGCCCCATTGGTCAAAAGATCCGGCAGAAATAATATCTCCCTTAAACTTATCAGGCAATGTGATCACACTTGCCTGATATTAATCAAATGTTGGGTTCTCAAGGTGATTAATGTTTTTGCTCAGATTTTCGTATAGATCCAAACCCTGAGAGATTTTACCTGATACCCACTGGCAACGTTTCATGATAAACTGCTTATTTCTGACACAAACCCATAACTATAGTCGTTTGTTGACAAAAAAAAGTCACTACAGTTGACAGTAATAACTTGTGAAGTGCTTTTAACAAATTTGACGTGATAAGGTGCTAAAGAATGCAAGTTCTTTCTTTCTGAAGCTTTGAAGTCAGAGAGCTTTAATCCCAGCTTCAGCTACTTGGAACATGCCTACCTTCACTGGATGGGTTTTGCCAGTTTTCCTTTGGGTATCTGGATGATTACCAATGCATAACACTATAACCTTCTATCTGTGGGGTGGGAGGCAAGGAAATTGGCACTGTGGAAAAAGCACATTTGTTAGCCAAGCATTGAGTGGCAGAAAGGATTTGCTGACCAAACTGCACATTGTGGACAGACTAAAAGAGGATGCATGGCATCAAGAGGGTACCAAATGGGAGTGCAAGTGGTTTTAGGGGAAAAAAACACACACACACACAAAAATGCAGCAAGCGTACAGCTTTTGGTGGAAAATGCAGAATTTAAATACCCACCTGCGCACATGCATAAACATGAAGGCACATAGGTACAGCCTGAACCCAACAAATGCAGAGCTTGCGTGTGCAAAGCATACCCTCAGCCTTCGTCTGAGCGTTGCACGCGTTTCGTACGTACGTGTAGTGTGTGTCCATGTGCGGGTGGTTGGTTGGTGTGTCCTCTCTTCCTGCACACGACACGACACGACACGAGCTCTCTGGCCTCCCGTGTTTGTTGGCATGTCTGTCGCCTGCATGTGTGTGTGTGTGTGTGATGTGTCTGCGTGTGTATCTGTCCATGTGCAGGTGATCTGTGTGCGCAAACCATCCATTCTCTCTCTCTCTCTCTCTCTCAATCCCTTCCCTGCTCTCTGGCTTCTTGTGCGGGATATGATCTCCGGCTGTTGCTGCTCTGCTGCTGCTGCTGCGATGTGATGTGTTTGTGCAGTGGGTGGAAATAGGAAGAGGAGGTTGGCTCTGAAGCGCCTCCCGATGATCCAGCCAACCCCTCAGCTCACGGCGAGCCCGGGCTCTGGTGTCCCTGTACCATCGCCTGTTCGCTGAGGAAACCTCAGTCAAGTCAGTCAGTCAAGTCAGTCAGTGACAGCAATGACGGGTTAAAAAAAAAAGCTCCTCCTGTTTGTTGTTGACTGGCTCCCCCCTCCCTCCCTCCCCTCCCCTCCTCCCTCCTCTTCCTTTGCAGCCCTGAGGCTGAGCCCGGGCTATAATAACTTGATCATGTGGTATTATTATCTGTAATAAATGCAGAGCCCTCTTACAGTAATCAAGCTGATTAAAAATTCTTGCGCGCCAGCCGGAAATTGTCCTCCTCTCCCTCTCTCTCTCTTTCTCTCCTCTCCTCTTTCTCTCTTTCATATATTATTCCCTCCCTCCTCTCCTCTCCTCTCCCCTCCCTCCCTCTCTCTCCCTCTCTCCCTCCCCAACACATTTTTTTTTGCTCTGACAGTTACAAGGAGTGATGCAATCGAAAGGGAGCCAAAAAATGGCAGAGCCGGACTGCACTGCCGGCGCCTGAGAGACAGACAGACAGACAGACAGACACACGGGGAGGGGAGGGAGGGAGGGGGAGAGGGGAGGGAGGGAAACGTGATGCTTGTTTTCTGAAGGCTTATTTTCTCAGCACTGAGGGGAGAGGAGAGGAGAAAGGAAGAGGAGAGGAGTGATGTGTCTGTGGGAGCAACTAATAATTTAATGTGAAGCCGCTTCGGCTCCGTCCTGACTGAGAGAGACAGACACACAGAGAGACACACACACACAGAGACACACACACACAGAGAGACACACACACACACACACACAGAGACACACACACACACACACAGAGAGACACACACACACACACTACACTCACAGCTTTTCTCTCTCTGGGCTTTTAAACAAACAAAAGTCAATGACTTTCTCGCGTTGAAAGAAAAAGAAATTGTCACATTTCAGCCCCAAGTTTTATTTTTTCCAATTTTTTTTTTGAATTATCACAAGTCTCTCTCTCTCTCTCTCCCCCATAACCCCCAACACCTCCTCCTCCAACCTCTCTCTCTCTTCACACTCCCTCCCCTCCCCTTTGCCTTCCCCCAAATCTAAGGATATTTATTTTTATTTATTTTTTTGCAGTGGTGGTAGTGGAGGAGGAGGAGGAGAGGGGGAAAAAAAAGGACAGACTTTTTTTGGGGGGGGGTTTATTGTGTGAGAGGGAGGTGTAAATTTTTGCCCTCAATCTCTCTGTGGAGAGGGAGAGAGAGAGGAGAGGAGGGGAGGGGAGGGGGTGGTGGTGGGGGGGGGGGGGGGTATCAGTGCAGAAACCCACCCCACACACACACACACACACACACAAAAACGTGCGGCTCTCTTTTAGTTCTCAGGAAGAGTCCCGAAGTGAAGAGTTTGCGAATTTTTTTTTTGATTTTTTTTTTTTTTTTTTTGGGGGGGGGTCTCTCTCTCTCCCTCTCTCTCTTTCTCTCTATGTCTTCGAAGTTTGGTGTCTGAGCTCCGCGCAGAGAAGTGGGTGAGTTTTGTTTGCGAAACGCAATCGTCTCCTTTTCCGATACTTTGTGTTACCTGCGAGACCAGACGGGATACCACGGCGGGGAGTGTTGGTGCGTGAAGCCGGGGAGAGCTTCCCACAGTTTGTTTCTGTGTCCGTCCTTCTCTTTTCTTTCTTTATATATATTATCATGATATGTCGTTCGTGAAATAAAAATTTTCTGAAAAAAAATAATAAATAATAATATAAATAAAATGTCAACGTGAAATCCTGGAGTGGAATTCGCACATTGCACGGGACCGCAATAGTGTGTGTGTGTGTGTGTGTGGGGGGGGGAGGGGGGGGAGGGGGGAAAGTTGTCAAATCAAAGGAGGAGGAGGAGGAGGAGAGGGTGAGATAGGTGCTTTTTTTTATTCGCTGAACAAGGTTGTGTTGCCTGTTAGCCTTGTGATACCTGGATGAAAATGCATCTGTCTGCCTTTTAGTAAAGGGGAACTCGGCTCATCGTAGCGTTGAATGGAAAAGGAAATTTGCTGTAGTGCAGAGGAAGAACAACATGTGCTCATAGTTGTTCTCCCTCGTGTTTATCGTGTTGTCTTGCAAAGGGCACCTATAAACCGCGGTCGCAACCATTTATCATCTTGTACCAAGTCAAAATTGGAACACTTCGAGATGCGAGCATTGCTTTCCGATGGGCACTATTGGCCTGGAGTCTCAACTCTGACCCGAAAACTTAGGGGGAAATGAACCGTGATTAAACTGAATGATATGTCAGATTTAGGGTATATCTTAATGCCAGATGATGAAGTTATCCTTGCGTAATTCCACCCTATATCCATGAAGCCTGTTCTGAAGAATTTGCATCTTGTCTTCTTTAAGCAGCTGCGTGGATATACTATGCTTAAAAAGGTTTTGAATACAGCCTTACTACTTTTCAAAAGTTTAACAGTAGATTAATCTGGACGCTCCACATGAAACCTTTATAGTTGTTGTCGAGTTTGACCTCAGTAATATCTTGAAGTGGTTTTCTTTAAACTTGGTAGGTGATCTCTGAGTTGGTGGTGAGCATGGAAAATCCCAGTGAAACATTGCAAGTGAAGGAGAATTCAGAAAAAAACAACAATCACATTGATCCTAAAGGTCCCCCGGCTAAGATCCCCCGCTTGGACCAGAATGGGAGTCTTTCCACCCGAGGCAGACTGGGTAGCATGGGTGCAAAAGTGACTGGAGGTTCGCTGAAACACACGGGCCAGCTGATGAAAATCGGTAATAAAAAAGGTACCAATGTGTGCTACCTATTTTTATTAGTGTAGAGATATTTCTAGGTGCTTCAGGATTCTGTGGTAATTTGCTTCGCAATCAATCCACTTTTCCTTTACAGCCCGGTTCAAATTTATGCAATCCTTTCACAAACAAGAATATTTATGAAAATAAAATAGTTTGAAGGATAGAGTTTATTGTTTGAGCTGCCATAACATTTATCGTACAATCATTTATTTTTCCTCTGTTTGCAGACAACAAGGAATGTATTATTTATGAAATGAATGGACACAGCAGTCTGTATTGTTAGATCTTTATCTATTAGAACTGGAAAAAGGCACTTCAGCAAATTCCTTGGCCTCTGCTTATGATTGCCCTATTTATTGATTGTTAGCCAAGTATATATATATTATATATATATACAAAGGAAGCCAGGTTACAAGTACCAAAATGATAATTTATTGTGGTTTTTGAATAGAGTGTATTAACATCCACCATCAGGAACTGGAGCAGAATCAAAAGGTCTTATGATCCTTGAAAAGTTATAAGTGCCATAAATTCCTGAATAGAAGATTTCAGCTGTCTCTGGTATTATATGATATTCGCAGACTGTGATGCCAGTTCAGTTTTAGACAAGGATTCTACACACTTGATTACTTCTTACAGCCGATGTGTTGTTTACATAGACTCATAAACTTAATGTGAAAGCTTTATGCTGCCTTTCGTATTTATATCATCGAGTATTTTTAGAATTGATCAGTGACCATCACTTGCTACTTTCACACTGGGAGGTTATAAAGTTGCTGGAGTTGGAAATGGTAGCCAAGTATTAGTAATGGTGAAGAGGTAGTGGAGTAAAACGACCACAAAAGATTATGTACTTTAAAAGAAGGAAGTTGATGACAGTTTGGAAAAAAAATGTTAGGGAATTAATGATGTCATATTTAGTCAGTGTTCTGAGTGCTGTATAAACAGTTTTTTAAAACTACCAAACATATGACATTATGTGACTTAGGTGGTTCTACCTAATATCCTCCTCCAAGGAATTGATTGAATAATAGTTGTGACTTTTGTAAAGGCAGAATATAAATTTTGAGTAATGCATGATTGTGTGCATAGCTCAATGTTTTTGATTCACTGAATTTTTTTAAAAAAATTATTTACCATTTGATATAGCTAAACTCGTGATCAATATCGTTGGCAAATTAAAGTTTTTTTTAAAAAAATTGACGTCCTAAAATGGGACCTTCAGATATCGGAGCAACCTGATCTCATGAGATGCTAAAATGTATGATTCAGATATATCTTTAGTGTAGTTTACCATGTTATGTTTTTCTTTCTAAAGTTACACTTTGCAATATTTTATAAAGCAATAGCACAATAATAAACATCCATAAACCTGATGTGATGTACTTTCCTGAACTGGCAAAACAACCCATCTGTGATAGAGTACTAAAATACATAAACTTATTTTTATTGTTTGCAGGAAATATGCTCCCTGTTTTCTGTGTGGTGGAACATTTTGAAAGTCCCATTGAGTATGAAAGCAAAGAAGAACATGCAGAGTTTGTTCTAGTACGGAAGGACATGCTGTTTAATCAGCTAGTAGAGATGGCACTGCTTTCTCTTGGATATTCCCATTGTTCTGCTGCGCAGGCTAAAGGTACATCATTTTATATTTATATCCTGATTTAGAAAAAAATGTTTTTCTCTGTGTGAATTAATAAAATATTTCTTCGGTAATGTTTTTAACAGACTGGAAAAGCAACAAGTGTTTTATTTTGGGTGATATGTTCAAGTATTGTTCACCTAAGGTAATGGCAAGCGTGTTCTGCTCAGATTTAGAACATGGAAGAGATGAATACAAAAAAATCTAGTGATGTGATGAAATGCCGAAGAGATTTTCCGTTATTTATGATTATGAATGAAGTTTCCCAGGTCAGCGCTGATGATTTTGAAATCGGAGAATAGTGACTAGACATTTGAAGGTTGTGAATTATTTTTGTAATGGAATTATCGTAGTTATTTTTCTTAAAATTTGTAAACTGAAACAAATCGAAATAATTAGTTCATTTAAAATTGGAGTTTAAGGGATTAATTTTACATACAATGTCCTTTTCCTTTCTGACATAAGGTGTATTGTTGTAACATCACCAATGTAAAAGGATGCGCATTTACTTTATGTAGTTTGCTAGTTAATGAAAATGCTTGCAGACATTGAATAGGTATTTTGCACATAGCATATTAAAAAATCTATTGAGAATATTAAACACAGTTGGAAGCATGGTATATACATCTTAAGATAGGACTTGATTGTTTTTTTGGGTGGGGGATTTTGTTCTTCATGTTTCTTTTGGTCATGTAAACAGGGATCAAATAGAGAAACATCAATTCCATTTTTAATGATCTGTGTTTAGTAAGAGCAGTTTATAGTTCAACAAAAGACTATAGCAGCACATCTTAAGTAGTTTTGTATTAATCTTTTTCCATTTAGGTTTCCTCCAAAAATCAGTAGCTTATATCTGTTGAAATCCAGTATAAAATAGTTTAGAATCATAGATTCTATAATTACTTGTAATAGCAGTCATTTCTACTAATAGCAGTTATTGCACAGTACGTTTGAGACAATTATTGGGAAGGAAGAGAGAAAGAGTACTTAATCACTTATCATTCAGATTGATTGATTAATGGTAAATCTGAGCTGTATTTTGTGTACATTAGCACAATAAAGGAAACGTAATGTTGAACCAGACAGAAATAATTTTAAGGAATGTTATTTGTTTCTTGTTTGGAAGTATTAGCACTTTATAGGTGAATTAATGACCAATGTTTCTCACCCTAACCAATGTGTCTGTCACAGGCCTGATCCAGGTTGGGAAGTGGAATCCAGTCCCTCTCTCATATGTGACAGATGCACCGGATGCCACAGTAGCAGACATGCTGCAGGATGTGTATCATGTGGTCACACTGAAAATTCAGTTACACAGGTTAGTCACAATTCACAAGTCCCCAAGCCTCGACTATTGCATGGCATCATTATTATTTCATCTCTGTCTTTAACTCCCAGATCTCTAAATGCCTGAATTATTTTACCAAACGCATTGGAGCAAGAAGGTAGAAGTAACAAGAAATAATAGTCGCCACATGCAGCTGATGTATAATTCATGCATCAATACAGCAGATGTGTTGTATAAAGTAATTAACTAATCAGAACAATCAGGAGACTGAGAGCAATCTCTAGATGCATCTGCTTGATGCACCAAATGAAATCTGTCTATCTTGAAGGAATGTTGCACCAAGAACCTGTTCTGAAGTGTACTGTTTTTTAATATGATTTTTTCTATTATGCAGTTGTCCAAAACTGGAAGACTTGCCACCTGAACAGTGGATGCACACAACTGTTAGAAATGCTCTGAAAGAACTACTGAAAGAAATGAATCAGAGCACACTGGCTAAGGAATGTCCCCTCTCACAGGTATTTATAGTACTTTTCATTACTAACTTTGTAAACAGTTATGGCAAATAAAATATGAACTCCAGATTTGAACCTATGTGTATAGCATCAAATATGAACTACAGTACAGTTGGTTTGAACGCTATGATGATTGCACCAAAACTAGAAACCAAAAAGATGAGATTTTATTATTTTTCCCACAAAAATTCAAATTTAGATAGGATCTCTGCTTTTCTCATTTACATCACATTCCATTAAACTGTTGTAAAGATCTTCAATGAGCAATTGGAAATTTACATTTCCCTATTGTATATTGTAAAAAAAAATCTCAGTAGTTCATTGCAGATTTATTTCTGGGAAACCATCACAATAATGTTCCAAATTAGTGTAATATTCTTTGCAATTTTAATTTGGCAATCGGATGTTCTGGAAAATTACACCAATCCTGCTATTTACTTGCAAACATCCATACAGCATAAATGTCATGCAGAATATCCGTTGCTGGGGAGTGAATTAAAGGCTGTGATATATTCTTTGGGCTGAGATAAAATTTATACACTTCAAGTTTTGCTTTAATGTCTGCTGATTCCTTCAGTTGGATTGCAATTCACTCCTAGTTATCCATTATTCAACATATACTGTATATGAAATAAATTGATTTGGAGCTTTAAACGTATTTCTGTCTTGAAGGGGTTAATGCTAGATACACCATTTTTCATCACAGTAGAATGGCATGTTCTGCTGAAAGATGTCACTTGATGTTACAGTAGCAACATTCTTAACAGTGGTGTGCTTCAGTTTCCAAGGAGCAGTAGATAAGGTCAAGGTTTCCATGCAAATCAGATAAAATTTCTTTCAAAAGATTTGAAGAGTTCTAGGTCCACATCCAATATTGTATATCATGAACATATACTTCCCCTAGGATGTGCGAGAAGGATAATATTGCTTCTATAAATTAAATAAGCAGTTCCTGAAACAAAATTGCTTTCAATGGCAGTTCTGTTAATATTAAAATAATAAAAATATTGTTCGTTGTGAAAATATCAGTTTGTTATTAACAATAATATTTGTGAACTGGTTCACAAAAAATAGCAGTAAGTCTAGCAAGACAACACTACATATTAACACGCTTGTTTGGATCATCTTAAGTCACATTTCAGTATGCACTTATCTTTATTTGCCACTGTCTTCTTGCTGTTTTCCTCTAAAAAAAATTCAAATGAGTAGTCTGTAACTGCACGCCATATTTTACATTTCTCCTCCGACTCCAGATTTGTCTATTTGCCAGCAGTTCAATTTTTGAATATTATTTGGTACACAGGGATTTCTTTCATAGATTAATCAGGGTAAAGGTTGACATTGAGTTGGTGGAGTTTATCTGGACCACCTGCCGTTCATCAGTGAAATGGCTGTTATCCCGTTTCCTTTCTAGTCTCTCCTCTTCCCGCCCATCCCCCCCCTCAAAAAAAATCCTTTGCAATATGCAGCAGCACTTAAGCCATTGCGGGCAAAGAATTAAAAACTGCTTGTTGTATACTGCAGATGGTTTCTGGTCTGGTCAACTGGATGTATTGGTGGAAAGAGTTGAAATGCTCTTTGTACATGGATCAGATGTAGTTCAGACACGTACTTGAGAGTTGCAGGTGCGCACCTAATGTGTTCCTAACAGCATGCAAGGAATTCATGTAAAGGGTTGTTGCACTGGCAATTAATAGTGTTTTGAACATGCTAATATTGATTGAAGGATAAAACGATAGAATTATTATGTACAAATAAAAAAAAGTAAAAATAATTCTTTATCAGTTTAAAAACCTTATGTTTTAAAAAAAATGTTTTAGGTTTTATGTTTCTCTAAATCTCTTTTCTGCAGTTGAGCCATTTGATTGACAACATAGTTCCATTTGTAAGCTGTGAAACCTTCAGTACTACAGTGAAACTCTTATTATAACATGTTCTATTGCGACATGGGTTTGCTTATTGGGGTTTGGATCCCAATATTTACTGACTCAAAAAATTCAAAATGCATGTGCCGGCTTCAATGATACTACGAAAAGCCAGCCGGCACGTGGGAAGCCAAATTAGCAACCTTCTGGTCATTAGATTGTCGCCAATGCCACATTCCCCACACTGCCTTATGTTCTGAATCGCCGACGGAGCCGTCGTTCTTTCTGTACTCATGTGCAATGAATACTGAAGCGTAATAGCACCCTGTTTATGGAGCTGGTTGGAATATTATAATAAGCCTTGCATTTGATGGGAGTCTGGCTACCTGTTATAACTGGGGTCTGTTGTATATGGCATATTTTTGGGGCATTTTAGACTTCTACATGTTAAAACTGGTCAAGTTCAATTCAGAGTGTGTTTCCCTCAGCAAAATGCCTTTTTTCAAGTTTCTTGATTAATAGTCTCAAGATTTAAAATGCATTTGCTGCTATACACATGACACACGAGGAATGCCTAATAATTATTAAGATAAGAACAGCGAATATTTAGGAAAACTTCTATTGCTTTGTTCGAACTTCACAGAGCCTTTCTGATCTTTAATGTTAATACACCAGAGTTATCTTCCGCAATAGCCTTTGAATTATTAAGTTTTTTTTACCAGCTTTAAAATGTAAAGAAAAGGATTATGGGGTTACTTTATGTCTGTTGCAGAGATACATAAGAAATCTACTCAAACCTACTTACTGTTTGTCATGAATATTTCACATTCATTAGAACATCATTATGTATATTTTAATATCAGCCATTTTAAAAGGGTGATGGCAAAAGAATATAGGAGTAGTTCATTTAAAAAATTCTGAGCCACTCAATTACTGTACATCAATAATTAACCTCTTCATACAGATTTGTGAACCCTAAGGCATTGCGAAATGTTCATTATATCTGTGTTTTTTCTACCATGATTAATTGAAATAAAATGTCAAAAAAATCCAGTTTACTAATAATCAATTAAAATGTAAGTGTAACTTTGTTCACTATTTTGCCAAACCATCTATTGGTATTGCTACAAATTACTACTTTTCTTGTTGCTATGGATTTTAACAAATTCGGCCCATACCATTGTTCGGTCTAGAGGAATCCTAGTAAGGTGCATGCCAAGTCAGTGTTGTTAGAGTACAGAACAAAACATATAAAATATAGGCAATAAAGTTCTCTAAAAATTTGACTTACTTTTGTAGGAGGAAAATAATTCTGTAAAGATTACCATAATTTTCAGTTTAATGATGGCATATACCCATTTCATGTGAGTTTCACTTTAATGTTTCAGAATAATTTTGAAGAGGTTATAACACAGCTTTTGCTTTAGGTTTAGAAATGGATCTTGAGCCAGGGTGCAGTTTGGCTTGCAGTGCAAAGATGGATTGTTCTAACATCTTTTCAGTGTTTTGAAAAGAAATTATGGTGGTATCCCGTTCACCCTTAATCACACAAGGTCTCTGAACTAAAATTCATCTCAGTCTCATTTGTTAAAGTGAATGTGATTGAATATCACATAGAGATTTTTTTTAAATCCGAGGAGCACCTATAAAAAGCTAGATATTTCCAGAAAGATTTTCATAATTATTTGAAGTAGATTTTTAGAGTATTCTCAATAATTAATTATTTTATTTTACTGTCTATACACCAGATTACAGGAATTCTTGTGCACTTAGGTAAAGCTGTCTCATGTATCATTTTCCACTGAAAATCTGTGATTTTCTAACAAAATATTGCGGTGAAATGAATGCCAGCTATTTTATTAAAGAAAAGCCCTTTGGTTCACAAGCTCTTCGAGAATGGATGAGTTGAATAGACTCTGCTGCTGAGACTTTCAGTTTACTTTATTATTTAGGATCATTGCTCTGGGTAAACCCTTTAAAGCTATGTAACCCCACAACGTTCTTCAGTTCATTCTGAACTCCTTTTCCAAAATAGTCTTCACTGAGTCTGGATCCAATTCCTTTTTAATGACATTGAATGTAAAGTTTGTTGCATTTCCCTTCAGAGCTGTGAGACAGCCATGTGGGTGTAACTAAGATCATAGACTTCACTCTTGACAGAAACTTGTGGTTCTTGTCATGCCCACATGACTGACGAACTCACTGTAATGATAAACAAATACAACAAAATTTACCATAGAATAGTAATTAAAGGGAATTTGGTTCTGTGAAGTCTTATGTTTTTTCCCCAGTGATTCGTTTCTATTACGTATTTTAGAATTAAAGACAACTCTAGAGATTTGCCAAACATAAGTATGTATTTTAATATATTGTGAACCACCCCACATTATAACTTACCAATTGTATGTCCAATAATACCATGGATATTTTACATCTGTAAAATGATGATGTGGCCAATGAAATTACCGATTGTGAGCATAAAATAAGTGATTAATATACAAGACTAATTAGGTAAAAAATAATGCCATATATATTTACTTTAGAAATCACTCGGTTTTAATGTAAACATTTTTCTTAAAACACTTTAGAATAACACACTTGAATGGCATGCTGTGTGGTTATGCTAATGCAGATACGCATATAAGAATGGCAGTGACACGATCACACCTGTCACTTCACTGTGACGCTATAAAAATTGAAGGGGCTACAGGAAGGAAGGTTTGTGTTCTACAATCATTTCAGTTGGAGTTTCTAAGAAAATGCACCTAAAAAAAGGTCACGTCCGCATGTTCTCTCTTCACCCTTCCCCTCTTAGAAGAAAACCATTTTTATTAAAATCAAACTACATCCCCAGTGGTTTAGTGGGTCGAGCACTGAGCCATAACGACAACTATTATGAAAAGTGCCTCTTGGCTAGGGAAGGTATAAAATCAAACATGGTTCATTATCCATTGATTCATGCTGGAAAGTGCATAAATGTTGAGCAAGAATAGGATCAAGGTTCGTTTTGACTCTCTCTATAGTTAAAAGCCTGACCAGCATTTCCAGTTTAGCCTCAAACTGGGAAACAGGGCATATGGGCCAAAGCTACTAGGATTTATGGGACCATAACCCAAAAGAGTTAGTTCCAGCAGGAGGGAAAAGTAGAACATTGGGGGAAAAATCAATTGTATTAGATTTGTTGTATCATGACTTCCACCACTAGGCAATTGATGCAAACAAGAAGTATACATGATCTTATCTGCTTCTACTGGTTTATTTAGGCTGTAGCTTGAATTCCAGACCTATCTCTGAGCTTGATATTCCTGTGTTCCCTAATTATAATGAAAATGTAGGCATGTGTAAACAGGGAAAGAATGTGAGGAGATTGGGCCAACAGATGAATTATCCGTGTTTAATGCTACTCTGAGAATTGTTATTCCTCTGAAACCAGAGTTAATGGTATCATTCCTTCCACCTTTTGGTACATATAATAATAATAATAATACTTGCATTTGATATAGCGCTTTTCGCGTCTTCTAGACGTCTCAAAGCGCTTAACAGAATATACTGTAAAGTGAATTGACTATATTTGTGGGCGAACGCGGCAGCCAATTGCGCACAGCAATGTCCCACAAACAGTCGTAGATTGAAAATGACCAATTTTATTATTGTTTTGTTTTTTGGAGGGATTATTATTAGGCATGTGGAGTAAGGAAACTTGCCCAAGGTTTCGCCCTGTCTGAAATTGAACTCAGGTTTCTCGCTTGCAAAACGAATGCTCTAACCACTAAGCTGCAGGACTGTACAAATCTTTTGATGTCAAGCCTGTATTATTCTCTACTTGTTGCTAAATTACCAAAGGGGTAAGAAGACCCATGTCTAGAACTAAGCTGAATGATCAATGCCAGTGTCTTTGCTATCATTGTGAACTTGGTGCTCTCAGAAATAGTGCCTACTGCCCTTTGTGTAGTTTTGCAAAATGGAACAGGACTGCAACTGAAACAATCTCCTTAAGATTTTCATTGATTTGGGAGTTTCTTAATCTGTACATTGTGGCTGTCTACAGCCTTCCAAGAAAGTTGAAGGCAACCTTGATTGTATTTTGGGGATTTGTCACCCATTATTCTCAGCAAGCAGCAGTTTGAGCATTTGTGAGGTTCTCCCACGGACCCCATGGTCTAAGGAGCAGCTGTAGATGACTTCTCAAAGTTGATTTGACCCATCTTGTAATTCATGTTTCTGCAATACCTTTTATTTAAAATACTTTGAATTTCATGGGAATACTGGTATGTTATACATGTTAATGTTTTGGTGGTGTTAAGGATCCCCGGTGTTCTACAGGCAAGTTGAAGTGCAAAGCTGAGTGAGGCTCAAATTCACAAAGGGTTGCACTTTATTTGCACCTGGCTGCACTTTTCTGCAACAGAAAAATCTAGAAAAAAGATAACGTGAAGTTTAACTTTGAAATTCTATATCACTTAAAATATGACAGTTAGCTGCTTCTATAAAGTGTATGTTGCACAGCCCCATGTAATTCCATTTTCCCCCAGAATACTGTTAATTGAAAAGTATATTTTTGTAAGTTGCAGTATTGATTTGGTGTCTATTCAAATATTTTTAAAAGTGTCTTCATTTGTGTTAGTTCATCTCTGTAAAGTCCTACTTTAAGTAATGCCTTTCTATCATTAAATAACATGGTGATGAAATTCAACCACATTGTAACAGGTCAAACCTCTTGAGGATGAGGACTACTGATAATTTACTCTTTCGATGAACTTCTCCCGTTTCCCTACCCCCACCGCTGACTTGGGCTCTCAGTTAGTTGTGTAAAGTACTTCGAAATGTCCTCCTGATGTGAAGGGTACTGTATCAAATGCAAGCATTATTGTTATTTTATATTCAGTCATGGTTTGCAAAGTCATGTTACAAAGCAACATTACAATGCAATATTGTTACTGAGTCAAGTTAATTTTATGCAAGTAATGCAGAAATAGGAGTTCTTATACCATATTAACTTATACCGTCTACAAATAAAATATAACTTTGTGCAGATGAATCATTAATCAGGAAATATGCTATTGTCCAGTAGAAGTAAAACAAAATAGAAGTGGTCTTTCCTGAAAGTTTATCGCAGCTTACAACCAAGTAAGAAACGATAACTATCCGATTATTGATTTCCAAATTGTATATGTGTTATATACAAGGGTAATATGTATGAAACTCACAAATTTGTGATTCAGATTCGTTTGCATACATTCTGCAAAAGCTGCAGATGACCATCTGTGACAGAATTACATGAAATGTTACAATACAGTAATAAGCCATTCACCCCAACGAGTCCATGCCATATTCCACATGAGCCTTCATTTCTCCTGATCCCATATCCCCTGTGACTAAATTATTTCACTGGGTTTAAAGAGTTTTCGAGCTATAATTGATATCAATCAATAATTATAAAGTTGCAATTATGAAGAGAGGAAGAATATTTAAAAACAAGGAAATAAAAACCTAAAGTGAATTCTTCATTAAAATAGCTGTTACATAGATTTACTGTGGATGCATGCAATTTATCTTAAATATTTTCTTTGTAATGTCTGCCTATGGTTGAAACTAGATTGAAATTCTTTGTTACTGACTGAAGGTTTTATGTGTCTTTTTCGATACAGAGTATGATTTCCTCCATTGTAAACAGCACTTACTATGCAAATGTATCAGCAGCAAAATGTCAAGAATTTGGAAGATGGTATAAACATTTTAAGAAGACAAAAGATATGATGGGTAAGCAAGAATAATCTGGGATCTGTTTATTCAGATGTTCATGTTAGGCGCATACCTTTCCACTATGTGCCTGAAACTATGTCTTTCTCTGTATGGATAAAATAATTTTAATCAGCATGCACATTTGCTTCAAAACTTTTATTTGAATGTGAGAAGATTGTGGATCTGTAAAAGTGGTGATGCGGTAATTATTCAGAAACCAAAAGGAGACAGTTCTGAAACCGAATTTCAAAAAAACCTCACTGAACAAATATATAGTTGCATAGTTGCCAATGAGAATTAGCTAGAATACTGTTGGATTTAATTATTCCAAAAGAGTTACATTCAACTGAAAATCGTAGGATCCCTTAATCTGTGTGTAGAACCATAATTAAAAATTTAGGACGAAAGTTTAAATATGTCTTAAGTATCACTGCTGGCAAAAGTATTCTTAATATTGTTAAATGATCATATGGAGGAGGAGGGGGCATCTTGATAATCAGAAGTTTAGACACCAGCACACAAAATTCCTCGAACTGTATTTGTCATTTTAAGAGATCAGATTCAGCATATATGAATCACACGCAATGCAGATGAAGGCCCTTGTTTCAGGTAGGGTAAAAGCAGCATTGTCACAATACTATCTAGAATATCGTGTTGTTTGTAGTAGGACTACATTTGACCTTATATTGTTGCCTATTGTCGCTACATAGATAAAAGTGAAAAATAAAAGTTATGATTATTCACCATTGCCAATCTTCTACCCTTGAAACCAAATGAATAGAATAGCAGTATAGTGAGTTATAAGGGTGTAAGTTCAAGTGCTCCAGTACCTGGAATGACCCTGGTTTAGAACTCTTAAGTGAGATAATGAAAAATCCTCCAGGAAATTATGACAAACGTTTCTATATAGTAAATTTTGCCCATTTGTATGATACTCTGAACGATTCAAATCTGAAACATTTTTTCAGTAATCATTTTTCATAGCCTCAATATTATTCATCAAACCACTGGACTATAAGAGGAAAATTGCCGTATTAGGACCAAAAGGTGAAGCAACACTTTTCAAAATAATGTCACAGCGAAAATGATTGTTGTTAACGACTGAAATCAGTAATTATGATGAAAAAATGATCGCAGATGCATTTTCAGAATCTAGCCCCAGGGGTATTACATAACGCACAATAAATAAATTACATGGACATTTTCTATGTGAAATGAAGCAATGACACATTTTGCTACAATGTTGTGAGATAGCAATATTTTAATGAAGAAAAAAGAAAAAGAGCAAGTGGATTGGTTTATGCTAACGTTATCAGGAAAGCTATAACCTCCTGACAATAAGTGTCTCTTAACAGGACATTTGAAATCCAAAATTGTTGCGCTTCCATGATTTCACAGATGTTTGTTGGAAGACCTCTGTGTAAGATAATGTAACATTCTCAACGTAATGCTAATATGTTTTTCTCATGTAGTTTCTATCTGGAATTCATGATTATACCACATAGTAAATAAGCGAAGAAGGCATAGTGAAACTCAAACTGCTGTCTCTTGAATAATAACAATAATCTTATTTTACCATAAAAGGCAGTTGTTTCAAATTCATTGAGCGGATTATTATTTATACCTTGTAAGATTCCTTCTGGGGAGTGTAACTTTTTATTTCCCAGACTAGAAAATCCAACCTAGTGTAAATATATAATATATAGCTGCATATATGATAACTATTTCAGGTCTGTTTAAGCTTTGTACTGAAAGTAATTGATTATGTCATTGATTATTTGAATAATTGATTGGATACACATATTATATTAAGAGTCATGAAAATCGTACAACCTCCTGCTTCAAGAGTGCTTTCATCATTTTGTACAGTGTTTAAGTATTAATGGATGGCTGTCTGTTCTGTACCCTGGAATTAATGGTAACTTGAATACTGATCCCTTATCGGGGGTGGCTCTTTCAACTAGCATCTCTCTCTAAATCAAGGACAGGAAGCAAGAAACTGATTTGTGTTCTTTCTGTCATACCTGTAGCCTCCAGCGTCTTTCTCTCTCTTTCTCTGCATCACAACCTGTCTTGTCTTTCTCCATTTTATTAAAAATTTAGTATGTGTCCCCAATTCAGAATGTGCCCCCAAACTCTGGAAACAGTCTCTAGATGTCCTTTCTCCTCCCCCAAACTCTCACTTTGTTCAAATCAAGCTTATCTGGAGTCCTGTAGCTCAGTGGTTAGAGCACTCGCTTTGCAAGTGAGAGACCTGAGTTCAATTCCAGGCAGGGCGAAACCTTGGGCAAGTTTCCTTACTCCACACGCCTAATAATAATCCCTCCAAAAAACCAAAAACAATAATTAAATTGGTCATTTTCAATCTACGACTGTTTGTGGGACATTGCTGTGCGCAATTGGCTGCCGCGTTCGCCCACAAATATACAGTCAATTCACTTTACAGTGTGTTCTGTGAAGCGCTTTGGGACGTCCTCCTGACGTGAAAAGCGCTATATCAAATGCAAGGATTATTATTATTATTATTATTATCATACTGCCTCCTAATCAAACTCTTTACAGGTATCTTTATAGGGTGTCATTGTGAAATGTTTCACCTGTATCTTCCTCCTGCAATCTATAGGCCTCTAAAACCTAGCCTTAATGTCACCTAATTCATACTTCATTGTTATACATTACCTTGATTTTCTTTTTGAACTTTTTGAACTTTCAAAACTTGTGCTTTGATTCACATAGAACACACCTGGGCAATGGGGCCATTATTGCTTACAAGTTGAAGAGGAGAACTCATAAAACCAACAAATTAAAATTGTATAGCACTTTTCATGTAGGGAGGATGTCCCAAGGAGCTCAATATTTCCCTGCCTCATGTTAAAGCATGCTGTGGCAGTATCTTCAGTAGACTATCTTCTTGGGGGGAGAGAAAAACAGTCTCCTAGGAGCTAAACAAACTCCAAGGTGAGATGCTTGTCAATAGAATGTTAGAAACAGGTCAATCATTTGTGGTTGACAAGATAGTCCGGTTCCTGAGCTCGGCAGCTCTGCAGTACTCCAGCTCACCTCCAGCCAGCCCGGCATTTTGGCGTGGCTTGATGTATCTTGTTAATACTCCAAGCCAATGACCTAATAAGCAGAGTGGTCGTAGCTGGACAAGCGGACAGCAGACATTGCTCTCAATGGCAAACTATGTGGCTTTATCTCCAAGAGTACCCAAACACACACTCTAGTGTCCCCAAAGCGTCAACCTGCACCTAATACTCTACGGAATTAGGTAAGCAGATTCTGGATTCCATTTCAAGACACAGCAATATCCATGTGCAGGAAGGATGCATGGAACGCTCATAAGCACAGTGAGGGGTTACTGCGTGTGCCAGAGACTCAGCCAACCAAACACACATCTGGTGGAAGCTGATTATTCTCAATGAAGCTTGAAGATACTCAACAGCGTTCAGCCAATCAGAATTCAGTATAATATTTCCAAATTCTGCAATCAAATAAGCCCGGGTTACATCAGCTCGGTAGGAGAGACCAGAAAACATCCAACCTTCTGATTCCAAAGTCATATCTCTCAATCATCAGCAACAACAAATTGCATTGATTTAGCGCCTTTCACGTCCGGAGGACGTCCAACATTCAATTTCTCAATTGATTTCAATAGTAGAATCAAAGGCATCCTCTGGCGCAACATCCTCTATGGTACGGGTGACAGCTAATCTTGATACTGGTTGAAATCTTATTGGGAACCTAATTTGACACTATTGAAGTCAAACTTAGGTGAACCCTCCCGCTCTCCGCTCCCTCCAGCTTAGTAGGACTGTATTTTCTACCAACGCAGAAGTCTGTAATTCAGATAATCGTAGAATATTACAACACGGAAACAGATTATTTGGCCCATCAAATCTGCACTATTTTTCTCGACCTGAGCTACTTTATCCAAACCCACTCTCGTGCCGGCAATTCACATTGTTTACTATTCCTCTTTTTCAAGCACCTATCTAATTCTCTTTTTAGAAAAACCTATAGAATCTACTTCATCAACCATTGTGGCAAAGAATTCCCACATTCTCTCTGTCCTCTGTGTAAAGGAATTTTATCTAACTTAATTCTTGAATGAATTGAAGACTTAAAATTAAAGGCATTTGAAGTTGGTCGACTAGTCAATTAACTGATTAATATAACAGGCTCCAGAAGATCATATCCAGTTAGTCGTTTGGCCAGTTCAGACTCAAGTCAGCAGCACAGTTGCTGACTAGTGAGAACAGCCTGTAGTTTATCCCTCAGCCAGGGTCAGATGGCTTTTAAAGTTTACAGTTTACATACTGGGACAAACTATAATATTGCATTAATAAGGCAACTCAAATTAGCTTTATTATTGTAACATTAACTCTATACAACTTGAACAGATAAAAATGTTTTAAAAAATGTCTCTGTCCTTTATTCTCTTTCTTGGTACTGTTCTTCCTCTCTTTTTAGTTTCCTTATTGTTTATCTTTTCATTTAGTAACTTTCGTGCTAGTTTGATTCACCTTCTTAATGTAATAATGTAATATAGTTTGTTACAGTGTGTGAACTGTAAATTTTAACATTCATGCTAAAATTCTAGCCACATTGTGTGTGGTGGGATCAAAAGCTCCATGATTACATCTAAATGAAATAAATCATCTGTAGCATTCTAAAGGGTTAATAAAGAAATAAAATAATTTAAAATGAGATCTGCCCTTGTAGCTGTGGACATGACATTAACTACACAATACAACATTGTTTTTAAATTGCCAGAATTGATCATTGTTAAAATGCAACAAAGTGCTATGATCAGCCCCAGTCTTTGGATCTATATCAGCCGATTGACGATTTTGCTGCAAATAAAAGAAAAAGCTACATTTTTTTTTAAAAAAGTAATGAATCTTCCCCCACCTCCCCAGTTTGACCTGCTAGAATCTCTTTGCAGGATTACCAACAACAACTTGGGTTTATGTAGTGCCCTCCACGCCGGACGGCGTCTCAGAGCGCTTCACAATAACAGATCCCGGGGCCAAGCCAGGGGGACGGGGAAGAAGGTGACCAAAGGCGCGGTCGGAAAAAAAGGTCTTTAGCCGACAACAACAACAACACAATTTCATTTATAGAGCGCCTTTCATGTCGAGAGGACGTCCCAAGGTCTTTAGCTGGTCTTTAACCAGTTTACTGTTGTGTTCTCTGTCTGATCACAACTGATCACAATTGATCTGTGCGGTTCACAAAAATAATGATACATACTTCATTTAATACCTATTGTATAGATAGATGTAGCAAGCAAATGGATATGTTGATTGATTTTTGACTATGTGATCTCTTTCTTATTCTTCTTATAAGCTGTTGTTTTTAAAGTATGCTGTTGCAATGATTCAATTTAAGGAAGTCTTAAGGTGTTATATAGTGGTAGGTTGATTTGGTATCAAAGGTTAGTGCTGGAGGTTTAGTTGAATGCTAAATTCTACTATTTTAAAAGTGCAATATAAAAAATATTTTTATCCCAACTGTTGATAATAAGAAGGGTTGTTCAGAAATCAGTGTGATGTAATGGATAGAGCAACAGCTTATAACAATAATAATGATAATAATCCTCGCATTTGATATAGTTCTTTTCACGTCTTCTAGACATCTCAAAGCGCTTCACAAAATATACTGTAAAGTGAATTGACTGTATATTTGTGGGTGAAGCGCGGCAGCCAATTGTGCACAACAGTATCCCACAAACAATCGTGGATTGAGTGACCAAATTATTATTGTTTTTTTCTTGAAGGATTATTATCCCCTGAAAGCGATCCGCTAATTGACTAACAACTGGGTTCCTACTTGCTGCTAGATAAACAGATGTGTGTGGAGTAAGAAAACTTGCCCAACATTTCGCCCTGCCAGGAATCAAGCCCAGGTCTCTTGCTTACGAGGCGAGTGCTCTAACCACTGAGCTACAGGAATCCACATATGGATGTGAAGTTCGTGGGTTCAAATTCTGTGTTGGTCTCAGCAAGGGCTGCTAAGTTGGCTCTGGCTATTCCAATGTTATGGAGAAAAATAGCCAGTGTTCCTATTCAAGGTCCCTGTATAGTACCCTTTTCCGGTAGTGCATCTTTGTGGCAGTTGGGTGAAGGGAAGTCATGCTCAGCTGTCATCCCCTATACAGTCAAGTGGCATTCACTGCCAAGGCCTCACACATAGCTACATGGGTGGGATACCGGAGGGCAGCCAGTGCTTACTAAACCACATCCCAAAATGACCAGACTGGGACCAGAACCAGAAATTATAAACAAAAGGTCTTTTCAGCAATTTTGTGGAATCTGTCTATTAGCTGGTTTGATAATTCAATTAATCTAATAAACTATAAGGTTTTTTAAAAAATTGTGATATATTATAACTGGTTATAACCTCCTTCAATGAATGATTCACTTGTGCTGCATTTTCAAATGTTTTTACACCAGCCATCGATGATTATGAAAGTTAATATAATTTTGGTCTTCAGTCATGGTAGGTATTTTCCTATAGGAAAATGTCCTTTTATACTTCTAAAGGAAAACATTAGAATTCAGTGAGGATGATCCCCAGTGTTAGAGAAGTGAGCTATGAGCAATCATTAGGCTGGCTAGGGCTCTTCAATCTTAAAACAGCTGTCTCAGAGGGCACTTCATAGAGATATATAAGATTTTCAATCGGATTAAGAAAGTAAAATCAGAACAATACTTCTAAGAGAACTTAAATTTAGAGTTGCAAAGGACAATTTCAGGACAGTCATCAGGAATATTTATTTACCTAGAGAGCAATTAACAATTGGAACTGGTTTACCAGGAAGGTTGGTTGAGACCAGGACACTGGACTCAATTTTTTTAAAAAAACTGCTAGATGGTGTGATGGGAGGTTGAATATTCTGGAGTAGTGAAATTAAATGAACCAAAGGGCGTTCTTCACCCAAACCTCTTTTGTGATAATTAAGCAAATTGCCTTACAAAAGTGTTATAAGAGAGCAATATGCAAAATGTATGAAGATCCTGAAGGGTCAATGCTTCTCATATGTATAATTTTCAGTTTGTATTTTGTTTCTGACTTTTGTTTTTTTGTTGCTCTAGCTGAGATGGAGACCATGTCTGAACTATCCGTTTCTCAGTCAGGAACAAACCATATAAATTTTGGACCACCATCAGTCCCTGGAAATGGTACTGAACTGGCCCAGCCGCCATCTCCTGTTCAGCTTCCGCACAGTGGACAGACCCCTGCCCGATCCCAGCTTTCCAACCTGCACCCTGGACTTATACCTGCACCACTTAGCCCACAGCTGGTCAACCAACAGCTGGTTATGGCCCAGATATTAAATCAACAATTTGCTGTCAACAGACTTCTGGCACAGCAATCCCTGAATCAGCAATATCTGAACCACCCACCAGTCAACCGAACCATGAACAAACCTTTAGAACAACAGACTTCGTCAAATGCTGAAGTGTCTTCCGAAATCTACCAGTGGGTTCGTGACGAGCTGAAGCGAGCAGGCATCTCCCAGGCAGTGTTCGCTCGTGTGGCTTTTAACCGAACTCAGGTGAGACGTAAAAATTATTTTCTATTGTGTACTTGGCGGAACTCCAAAACAGTAGGTGGAGCCTTTTCACGGTTTACCTGCACCATCAGAAAAAAATATTTCAGTTTTAGTACAAGGAAAGGTAATGTGAAGACATTCTGCAATTTTTAGAAAGGTTTCAGCAAACCACAGACCTTTTCACTGCCTTTGATGTTCTCTGAAGCTGATAAAATCTATTTGAATCGGTAACTACATCTTTAAAGTTATGAGACCAGACAGACCATGTTTTTATGTATATCAACAGACCCTCTCAATTTATCAACTCTTTGTTTTCATAATTGCAAACAGCTTTTGAAGGAATTTGGTAAGGTTTCATTCTACATTTCTTTTGCCATACGATTAAACTTAACGTGTGACAACTTGTTTTTTTTAGCAAGATACGAAATATAAAATTTGAGTAATCTTTTTCTTCAATTACATTTCAATGACTGGAGATAGCACTATACAGCTGCAAAACTGTAAGAAACAAAATTTATTTTAGAATTCTCCCTCCCACCCCCTTCATAGAAGATGAGATATGTTCTGGCCTCTAACTTATATGTCAACAGTCTGTGCCCCATTTAAATGTTGGTTTGTAATCAACTCCGCATTCATACACCAGAGTTACTGAAGTGGCTGTTATATATATATTCTGCTCAAGAGAACCTTTTTTGTAATTCTTTTTAAACTAATTTAGAAATAATAGGACACGTTCACAAAAAAGTAAACCTTCCTGTGAAAGTTCTTTTATTTTGAAGATGCTAAAACACACAAGGAGCAACCATGTAGTTGGTTAAATATGCTTAGAGTGCAGACCTGACTGATTGGGCAGTAAATCTGTACAGGCTACAAAAATCAGTAACCTAGTAGTTTAGTTTTCTCTCAACATAGCAAGCATTTTATTATTTTTCTTAGCTTCCGTTGGCTGTTATTCAGAACTATTGAAAGTTTATTCCAGCTTCTACAGTTAGAATGTTTTTGTCTTTGTTCACAATTTTATGTTATACTTTTTATATTATATTTTTTATGTTATGTTTTATGTATGTAATTTTATCCTTTTATGTTTTATGTATGTTATTTTTTCCTTTTTCTGAAAACTATGGCTGAAAATCCTACATATGTGTGGTCAACATATGAAGGATTACGGAAAATACTGAACACATGGAAGTGTTTACAAAGCAGCAATTTTAATGAAAGTGGTTGAGATGATATCAAGAGCAAAGACCAAGCAGTTTGTAACAATTTATCTGAGCTTCTCATTGAGATTATTGCTTGAAATCATTTCCATCATCTTAATACTACATAATACAATGAACTACAGATTTACATTTATAGATTGCCTTTCCCGTTGGGAGGACTTTCAAAGGCGCTTTTACAATATTGAATAGTTTGTGGAGTAGATTTTGTGTTTATTTTGTTATTGTTGCTGATATTGTTTTCAGCGGGTATCTGACACATGCAGAAACCATGGTTAAGAGTATCAAAACCAAACTGAGAGCTCCATACATCTGACCTATACATGGAAATTCCTGTGTATTGGAATGGAATGCACACTCTCTCCCTGGAGGGATGCATCCTGCTTACCTAATTGCAGAAAGCAATAGTCACAGGTTGACAAGAGCCAAGGCTTGGGGACCCGAGAGTGTACATTGGGGTACTGCTGGAGTCTAACCAACTAAAACCGCATAGCTTGTCATTGAAAGCACTGTCTTGCAAGCTTTCCTGCTGCTTGTCCAACTAGGACTAGCCTACCCATTAGGGCTCTGGCTTGCAACTCAACAGGATCTGAGTTGATCTGCCCCTCTCGGTTTTACTGATGATCCAAGCTGGCTGTGCTGTCATCAGCAGTGCCCAGGATTACTGCAGACCCGCCTGGCTCAGGAACTGGACTACTGAGACCTCCACAGAGGGTTGACTTGATTCTGACATTCCATTAGCAAGCATGCCACCTTGGTGCCAGTTCAGCTCTAAGGAGACTCTGCTTACCTGCCCCCTCTCCCAGGAGAATAGTTGCTTGTTGGTAATTTGATATCCGACAAGCAAGGGTTGAGCCCTCACAGGACCAGGAACTGTGTGGTGAGCAATGTACCTCAGCATGAAATATATGAGAGCATTACCACTATCTTCCGGTCCATAGCTCGGCACACATCTCTTCCTATTGAATGATGGTTCCATCAGTTGGAGATGAAGAGCTTGAGCTGATCACGAATATCATTGTAGACATTGCGGACAGTCTGTTTATCTATAATCGGCTGTTGCGTCCTCATTGAAGAATTCATGATTGTAATATATTCAAAAAAGTTATTACATTACAGTCCACAGTTAATTACTAGCTAAGGTATGTAGTATATATATGAAATGTATGTAAAATTATTTTACAATGTTCTAGTAAAATTTGATTTTGGGAAGAAGGCATAAAAATTTTCCTTAAAATAATCCAGTATGTGGATTTAGCTGTGACGGATGGTTTAAGTTTCAATTTAAGGCAAAAGTACCAGTAGAGTTTAAGGTTGATGATTTTATTTAGTCATGTAAATTGCAACTTTTTTATGTGTGATTCAAATAAGTTGTATACTTTTCCAGATGTCCATCAGATTTCTTGTTGCTGGATATATACTATAAAGTGCAGTGATGTGTGTATTGTGTAGGTGAATGTGGCCGCCAATTTGCGCACAGCAACGAACAACAAACGGCCATGGTGAATGAATCAATTGTACTCGGGTGATTGTTGCCCACGACACTAGGAAAAACTCTGTTCTCTTTTTGAATAAATTGGTAATAAAATAAATAATAAATTGGTCACTCAATCCACGACTGTTTGTGGGACACTGCTGTGCGCAATTGGCTGCCACGTTTTGCCCACAAAATATACAGCCAATTCACTTTACAGTATATTCTGTGAAGCACTTTGAAACTTTGATAAAGTACTATATAAAGCAAATGCCAAATAAACCACAGGACACTGATTCTGCAACAAAAATGCAAGGATTATCATTATTATTAATAGGGCCAAGTGATGTTTTACATCCACCCGAACAGGGACCTCGGTTTAACGGCCATAACAGCTCAATACCACCAACAATGCAGCTCAAATTGTATGAGGACTGCATGCTCAGCACTGCATTGAAGTGTCATCCTAGACTATATAAGTTCAAAGTCCTGACAAGGGGCTTGAACCCACATCCTTGTGACACATTCCTCCATTTTTATGAAATAATGGCCCAATGCAGACATAAATAAGGCCACTTTTCATGAGTAACTTTTTGAAAAAAAGGTTATTTGCTTGTGCAAGCATGAATTGAATCACAGTTGAACATAATGGATTTGTTTGTGCATTCCAACTAGTTATACATTGCCTTGCTTGAAAATGTTCATGATTTTTAAAACAAAATCAAGTTGTAGTTTTGCAGCAGCAAAGAAATGAGCTGAGTTTGTGGAAACTTAAAACTGAAAACTTAGTTTTCCAAATAAATATATTAGATCAAGCATAAGATTGTCACTACAAACTCTAACACTGAGTGTGTAAGAGAGTGGGAAATTGTCAAGATTTTTTAAATAATTAATTTGCTTGAGATTTTGAAAAAATAATATTTGGTTAAAAAAGAAAGTAAAAGATTAGAATGTTTCCCTGATTCTAGGTTGATTGCTGAGTATTCTGTTCTGCTTTTGACACCTTGGCTGTCCTCCCAACATGAAAGGCGCTATACAAATATAATTGTGTTGTTTTGTTGTTGCTTATTTTATATAAAGAAGTTAAGTTTAATGCTTCCATGTATTAAAGCTGTAATGCCTTGCATTTTAAGAATTGTGATTTGGAGCTGTAGTGGACTATTCATTTGGATGTGTTGCTATTTTGTGGGGCATGCTGAATGGATTTATAGCCATATTAAAATGTTCAGATATTAGGTTATTTTACCAGGGTTTGTCCAATATCATCATATCCCATGGCACTATTCATAAAAAGAATGGATTTCTCCTGGTGTCCTAGCCAACCATCCCCCAAATAAAATTGGTGATTTACTCCATGGCTCTTTGTGGGACATTGCTGTGCAGAAATTGGCTGCCACAATCATCCACAAATCACACAGTCACTACACTTTATAGTGTATCCTGTGAAGTGATTTGGGAATCCTCCTGGAAAGGGGCAATACCAAATTAAAGGATTATTATTATTATTGTTATTAAATGGTGAAAAGATCTTTACCACTAGAAGCTTTTACTGTGTAGATGTTTTTCTTTACTCAGAGGGTAATCAATTACTGGAACAGGTTGCCAGGAAGGGTGGTTGTGGCCAGGACACTGGACTCATTTAAAAAGCAACTTGTTACTATAAGGGACACATAGGGTGTTCTGCAAGGATGTGATTGGATGGGCCGTAGGGCTTTCTTCATCCAAACCAATCTTGTGATCTTGTGATGTCTGTGCTCTTTCTCCTTGTAGGCAATCAGCCATCAACACTTCCAATTACCCCACAGTTCCAACAGTCTTCAGACTGATATTGTCCACCCTTTGCTACTTCAGCCCCTGCTATATGGCTTCCAATTGCTCTGTTGATCTTTGAATTTCAAAGGTGTACATTTGAAGATCAGAAGGTAGATTGGACTTCAGTGTAGTACAGCATATTTTGTGCATATGCTGCTGCTTCCAGTTTGAAAAAATGAAAATCTCTGTTTCAAATTGTCAGAATGAACATATTTTACTTTGTATATAAGTCAGAATTTCAACCTCCCAACTGCAGACAGGAATACTCATGGTGAAAACTGTTGGCAAGTAATAAAATCTAGCTGTGGTAAATGCTTTTGCACAAAGTGATATATTTTCCTTATGCACTCATGTCATGTGGTGCACTTTCTGTAATAAACTCAATTTCGCATGTTTCTCCTTAGCAGTTGTGACAAGAATGGTAGGAGTTTCAAAGTTTGAAACTTTTGAGGGCTTTGAGGTTGTCTTCCACAAACTATTTCATCTCTATTATGTTTAGGAACATGAATTAAGTGCAACATTTAAAGGCAACGTTGATTAGGGTTGGCATCCAAAGATTTTAGATTATTGTCTCCAGAAAAAAATCTCTGCTGCTGACAAATTGTTTAAAAAGCTTGGACACAAACAAAAAGGAGCAGTGCAGATGCTATTCAGACTTCTGTCCACTGTTGTTCTATTAAAGACACCTCCCCACTGTGTTGCACTGATTCTTGTTGTAACATGCACTTTACTATAACACTCTACTTGGCTAGCCTCCAAGCAGTGCATTATAGCAAGCGTTTGCTGTACTTGCCTGGTAAATTTATCCTCTAAACAATTAGCATTTTTTCACGCTTTGATTTTCAGATATTTTGAATTAAACCTCCTTGATGTGCATCAAAAAGAGTTAGTTGATATCATCCCGCTGTCAATCACACAGGATCTGGGAAGAAGTAAAAGCTTCTCCCCAAATGCCATGTGATTGGCAGCAGGTTGTTTTGTCATTCAGTTCTCTGAACACCCGCTCCCTAATCAAGCTTGGCAAAGGTTTTAACTTAAAGCTTCATAACTCCACAGGACTCTTTTTGGGGGGAGGATTATGTTTTGAAATGATGAAACATGTCTGAGTTTTACTTGTGGGAATGTTAATTGTGCCAGGGGTGGTAGAATGCAAATCAAACCTCATACCTCGGCTGCATAGGCCAATTTCCCCCTTGTGTATAATATGTAAAATTCTATTAGTAAGCATTTTGGTATTCCATCACTTTACAAAGAATTGAATACCTAAACACTACCTTCCCCATTGTATGTGAAAGTATTTTCCCATTGCATGTTCCCCTTCAGTGAACGAACACTTCTCTACTCAACTGACTTGTCAATGTATTCAATGCAAAGTTGCATTTTAAGATTGTCTTGCTAGGATGAACACAATTAATCCAGTGATAAATAAAATTACTCCAATTTTGTTTCATTCAAAAATGAACTGTTACATTTTTTAAAATTAATTTTTGCTATTTGGACATGGTAGTGACCACCTCGCAGACTTCTGACAAGTTGCTTTTGAGCTAACAGCATATAGGTGGCCTGGGCTGAATTTCTCTGATTTTTCTTTTACCTTTCCTGATCTGTGGGGATGCACTTTACCTCAGTTCAGCAGCTACCCTAACCTCATAGCCAAGACTAAGAACTCACTGTGAGCACAATTACAAGCATTAACACTCCTCACTCTTAATCTGTAAGAATTACACTTTTTTTTCTCCTTGAGTTAAATTTAATTGTTCTTAAATGATTGCATTCCTTTACACAAGCTTTTATTTTAAGCTAACTATATTCTCGAACTGTTTTAAAATGATGATGCACTGCATCTTCAACACTTTCCTTGTTAAATGCCTTTCTAATTAAGTAATCCTGTGTTACTGATAGCAGCTAGTAAAATTATTTCAGTAACATGTAATCTGAAACCAAATTTAAATAATATCAAGAAACAGGCATTGCTTTATGAAAGTATGTGGGTCTTCGCACATAATTTACTTATGAAATATGACCTACTTAATTGTTGATTATAAATAGAATTGAGACTGTCGTTCCTTAAGATTTGATGAAAATCAGAGTTGTTTCCTCTGAACATAATGACTATGATTTCAGTCAGTATTGAATCTGGGAGGAAGGTGTTTGTAACGTATTGCACAGCTAACTTATCTGGTTATCATTCGGTAGTGAGGCTGAAGTTGCTATTGTTGTTCATATTCGTGTGATAATGTTCTTATACTGCATTGAAAATGTTAGAAAATCTGAAATGGGCATTTGCATTTATTTTCCTCTTTTCTCTTTCTTGGGCAGTTGATTCACACAAAATCTCATAAAATGTAATGGACCCAACACAGCTGTTACTTTGTACTTTTCTGCTTCAATAATTACTCCTTATTTAATGGACTCTCAAAACCATATTTAGATAACTGCTTGCAAGCTGAAAGTGGAATTGCTAGCCAGCCAGTACAAAATTGTTCAGTGTGAGGATTGTTAAGCATATTTCATTAAACTAATGAAGAACAATTTGTACATTTACTGAGGATGCTTGCATATTTTCATATTTTATTTACTCAACATTAGTAAAGTTGATCTAATCAAGAGAAAGAATTTATGGACTGTGTTCTATTAAGATCAAGGATGTGGCAATGGATTATTTTGTTAATTGAATAGTTTGGTAGATTATTAGAATAATCAATTGACTATCAGTTTACATTAAACTATTATAAAAATGTACAACTTCCAGGTTAAATGTGTGATCAGTGTCTCGCACATTAATGTATTGATGCTTCACGCCGAGTTGAACACCCTACAAATTGAGATGACATTTTCAGTCAGTACATGCATGCATTTTCCATCTAATAAGCTAAAGATAAAAAGTATTTGTTTTGTTATGCCAGCAGTATTACTAGTCATTTGTAGAAGAGGATCGGAACAACAAATGTGTACTGTACTTGTCCACACTGATTGGCTTGATGAGATAGATTAATTGATCACAAATTGTAATGAAGTTGATTTGCACAACTCTGTATGAAGGATTATCAAGGATAAGGTAAATTTGCCTTTTCTCTTTAGTTTTGCAAAGGCATATAAAATTATCTCTTTACCTATGTTTGAATTTATGTTGCTAGTTTGATCGTAATAATGTTTTTTTCATTTAAATGTGATTGCAGCAATCTCTTTACTGACATCTGAGTAATCAATTTGGGACTATATAGGATTCACTGGATGGTTCATTTTCAGTGTTGTGAAATTAACAATTGGCCATGGATTGCATTTTTAATAACATGGGGTATTGCTCCAAATTCTTAGCTTTCCCTTCCCCCTTTTTTATTGCAAACCAGATAATGGTCCTGTGCACAGCTGCAACCATCCATAAAGTGGTTAAAAGCATGGTGACTGTTCCAAAATGAGCATTAAAGGTAGTCAGCCATTTTATGCACAGTCAGGTCTATAAGGAACAAATCTTTTTTGTTGCAGAATCAGTACCCTGTGGTTTATTTGGCATCTGCTTAGGAGTTACTGAAGTGTATTCTAACACTCGCTCGGCATCACTTTGCAACAATATGTTACCTGCACTTTAAAGTTATAGAAGTATAACTGATGCAAATAATTAATAAGAGAAGCTTTCTGAGAACTACATCGATCTCTCTTTTAGGTATTTGTGTATGTATGAACAAAGAATTTGTGCAATCTCAGCAGCTGACGTCAACTAACATTTGTATCTATTAAGATATTAAAAAATGTAACCTTTTTCATGGGCGTCTTTCTACATCTAGAGTAGAATCCATAAGCGGATGACAATGAAAGACATTAACATTTATGCACATAGTGAGTGTTCCATACTCGTCAGACGCCTTGCAGAAATGTTTTCTTGTAGGCACATACCTCAGAAACATCAGAAAATAATTGGGTTTTGTTTCCTTTTGCCAATTATTTGCTTCCTGGCAGAAAGTACTTTTTGTTTTTAAAATACATTTTTTTCATGGAAGTATGTTTACTACTTCAAAAATTGTTAATATATTTTAGTTTCTGAAGAATGTGCAGAGAAACCTGTTTGGAAGAAAAAAAATGCATATGATTTGTAGTAAAAATTGCCCTCATTAAAACTGAAAAGCTGTTCGCTTACTATTTCAGTAGCATCTCTTATATTTAGCCTTTCACAATTGAGTAGTTGTTTTTCCACTTTAAGTTTGTGGAAGGACTGTATAGTGATCATCTATTTTCTGTTTTACGCCATGAATGTGCGTGCACTGCTAGAGAAGACAGTTATAAAATTAGGGATACAATCGGGTCTTTCTTTCAAAGTACCTAATTGAGCACTAATGTATTCTTAGTGCCATTGAAGGTTCACTGAATCTCCAGCAATGCAGTGAGTGAATAATTAGCAGTCGCTGGTCAAGTTCAGTTGACAAAAATACCATTATCTTGTTTGTACTTTTTGCAGGGTCTGCTGTCTGAAATCCTTAGAAAGGAAGAAGACCCAAAGATGGCCTCACAGTCTTTGCTGGTCAACCTGAGGGCAATGCAGAACTTTCTGATCCTTCCTGAAGCAGAAAGGGACCGTATTTACCAGGATGAAAGGGAGAGAAGCCTCAATGCAGCCTCAGGGATGGGATCTGCGCCTTTGATAAGTTCTCCCGGTCGTCCTCAACAGGTAACTTTTTGAAAATGCCCTACTTTTATTTTTCTCCCCGTTGCCCCTCATAAATCTATTTTGAGACAAAATTCTCCATCACTTCACCAATTAAGAAATGCAGTACTTTATTTGGCAATTATTTTTTCTTTCAAAGGATATTTTGTTCTTCAGCATGATATATTATGATTTTCATTTAATTTCTTTTTCTCTGTACCTTTCTCACATTTATTCTATGTTGTCAACTTCAGCAATTAAAAAATATTCAAAAGAATCATGTTTGCAGATGTTAGATCTGCCAAGCAAAAACTGCACAGTTTGAAAGCACTAAAAGAAGTGCTTTACTGAGACGTTTAGCCATCCTTTTCATTTTTTTAATCGTTCAGTTTGGAGATTACCAGTGTGGTTTTTTTTTTACACACCCTGTGGGGAAAAGTGCTGAGAACTTGAGTGATTGACTAAAATTATGCCAGTTCCTTTTAACATTTATAAAAATAATTAGGGTATTATATTGCTTTAAAAATGCAAGGAATATTATTTTGGGGGAGGAGAAGAGCCAAGAGGTTCTTGCAGATTTTTTAGATTGGCGGAGTGAATAATAGTAAATATTAATCCTTGCATTTGATATAGCATCTTATCACATCTGTTAGACATCTCAAAGCGCTTCACAGAACGTACTGTAAAGTGAATTGACTGTATATTTTGTGGGTGAAATGCGGCAGCCAATAGCACACAGCAGTGTCCCACAAACAGTTGTGGATTGAGTGACCAAATTATAAATTTTTTTTAAAAAGGGATTAGTATCCTGGAAAAGCGATCTGCCAATCGACTAATGACTGGGTTACTGCTTACTACTAGGTAAACAGAGGCGTGTAGAGTAAGGAAACTTGCCCAACATTTCACCCTGCCCGGGAATCGAACCCAATTCTCTCGCTTGGAAGCGAGTGCTCTAACTGCTGAGCTACAGGACTCCACAGTGAATACAGCTCACTGACCTTTCACCTTTGGATACTCGTCTGTGTCTGCAGGGCTCATAAGCAAAATGAGCTTGAACAGTCTCAGACCAATTCCCAGTGGCTATAAATCCACAGCACAAAAGTAGTAAATAATAATCCTTGCATTTGATTTATCATGTGGTCAAGTCTCAAGGCGCTACACAGGATTTTACTGTGAAGTGTGGTGATTGTATAAAAAGTACCCACTTTTTGGTTAAAACTGACGTTAAATTGGTGGTGTCATTCAGAAAGAAAATGGGTATTCTTTGGGGAGATTAAAAAAAAGTAACAGTGGACTTTCAGTTGTTATCGGTCTACCACATTTTCTGAGGTGTTTTTTGCTGCTCAAACCAACAACTGGACTTGATCAACTCTGGTTACTTCTTCGAGTTCACAATGATTTGTTTTACAAAAGTATACTACGTTTTTAAAAAAAGGAAAGAAATGCAATATTATAAAATGTTCTCTGTTGTTGCATTGAAAATCTGGAACCTTTTGATTTTCATTTAAGAAGTCTTGCTTTGTTTTAAATACTGCCTGATGAATTATAGTTTTCAGCAGAACCACCCACTCAATTTCACAGACTTTGACCCCATTACTTGTATTTGTCTCAATATTATAATCATTCATTGGAGAAAATCTACTATTGTAGTGTTACATATTTTCTGCTGTCCTAGTGTTACCTACTATCCTAGTGTTACCTACTGTCCTAGTGTTACCTACTGTCCTAGTATTACTTACTGTCCTAGTATTACTTACTTTCCTGGTATTACCTTTCAATATATTGGCCTAACAGTCCACCGACAAATCTGGCTGGACCTCCTCAAAATCTACTGCTCCACTCTAGCTTCGGCCGAGTCGTCCTTCTACTCCAGGATAATCCTGGAGACGAAAAACAAGCCCAGGCTTCTGTTCTCTACCACATCCCGACTCCTCCGTCCCCCCCGCCACCCTGCGCAGGTCACCTCCTCCAACCTTTACTGCAAGGAACTGCTGGATTTCCTTGAATCCCAAATCAAGGGAATCCGCTCCGCCGTCACTCCCCCTCCAACTTCCACCCACCCCCCACCCCTTCCCTCCCACACACCGACTCCTACCCATCCTCCCCTACACAACTTCGAACCCGTTTCCCCGCCCTCTGTCACCAACCTCATCCTGTCCCTGAAACCCACCACCTGCTCCCTTAATAATAATAATAATCCTTAATAATAATAATCCTTGCATTTGATATAGCGCTTTTCACGTCGGGAGGACGTCCCAAAGCGCTTCACAGAATAGACTGTAAAGTGAATTGACTGTATATTTGTGGGCGAACGCGGCAGCCAATTGCGCACAGCAATGTCCCACAAACAGTCGTAGATTGAAAATGACCAATTTATTATTGTTTTTGTTTTTGGAGGGATTATTATTAGGCGTGTGGAGTAAGGAAACTTGCCCAAGGTTTCGCCCTCTGCCTGGAATTGAACTCAGGTCTCTCACTTGCAAAGCGAGTGCTCTAACCACTGAGCTACAGGACTCCATACCCTTGACCCCATACCCGCTCCACTCCTTATCTCCCAGCTCCACCTCGTTGCCCCACTTCTCACAGACATTATCAACCTATCCCTCTCCTCTGGCTTTGTTCCCATCCCCCTAAAAACTGCCACCATCACTCCCACTTTGAAAAAACTCTCCCTGGTGCGTCGCAGCTACCAAGCTACCAGCCCATCTCCAACCTCCCCTTCCTGTCCAAGGTCCTTGAAAGAGTTGTCGCCTCCCAGTTGCGCTCTTTCCTCTCCACCCATTCACTATTCGAACCCCTTCAGTCGGGTTTCCGTGCTGCCCATAGCACAGAAACCGTCCTGGTCAAGGTCACCAATGACATCTTGACCATCTGCAAGCAGGGCTCCCTCTGCCTCCTCGTCCTCCTCGACCTATTGGCCGCATTCGATACGGTCGACCACGCTATCCTCCTCCACCACTTGTCCTCCCACCTCAACCTTCAAGGCCCTGTCCTTGAGTGGTTTAGGTCGTACCTCTCCCACTGTCTTCATTTTGTTTCCACAAACGGCTTCTCCTCCAGTCCCCGCACTGTCTTGTGCGGTGTCCCTCAGGGCTCTGTCCTCGGTCCCCTCCTCTTCACCCTCTATATGCTCCCCCTTGGTGACATCATCCGCAGACATAGGGTTAACTTCCACATGTATGCGGATGACACCCAACTCTACCTTTCCTCCTCTACCCTCAACTCCACGACCACCGATGTCCTGACAGCCTGCCTGTCCGACATCGAGTCCTGGACGAGAGACAACTTTCTTCAGCTCAACGTGCGCAAAACTGAGGCCCTCCTGATTGGTTCGCGTCAGCGCCTCCGCACCTCAGGCGCTGACAGCATCAGCATCCAAGGCTGCACTCTCCACCTCTCAAAGCCAGTCAGGAACCTCGGCGTTCTGTTCGACCCTGAGCTGTCCTTTCTTCCCCACATCCGCCCCACAACTGGCACCTCCTTCCACCACTTCCGGAACATCGCCAGACTACGGCACTACCTCACCCCTCACGCTGCTGAAACTCTGGTCCACGCCTTTATCACCTCAAGGCTGGACTATGGGAACTCTCTCCTCGTCGGCCTTCCCGGCACCTCCCTCCACAAGCTGCAGGTCATTCAGAACTCTGCAGCTCGTGTACTGTCCCGCACCAGGCTTCGGACCACATCACTCCCACCCTCGCTCGCCTCCACTGGCTCCCCATCCCCCAGAGGATCGAATTCAAGATCCTCATCCTCACCTACAAGGCCATTCACGTCCTTGCTCCCTCCTACCTCTCCGATCTACTATCCCCCTACTTACCTGCCCGTACCCTCCATTCCTCTGGCTCTGGTCTGCTCCACATCCCCCGCCCCAACCGCCCTACCATCGGTGGCCGGGCCTTCAGCCTCTCAGCCCCTAGGCTCTGAAACTCCATCCTCTGGTGCCTTCGCATTGCTTCCTCCCTTTCCTCCTTCAAGGCCGGTCTCAAAACCTTTCTCTTCGACCATGCCTTCAGCTCCCATGTCGACTCTCTACCCCCTCCTCGCTCCTTCCCTCCCCTCACTCTGTCCATTTCTCCCCTGCTCAGGTCCCGACCCAACTGTCCAGCGCTTTGGGACGTCCTCCTGACGTGAAAGGCGCTCTATAAATGAAATCTTGTTGTTGTTGTATTACTTCATAATTTCACTGACAATGGTGCAAAGGCTGGTGCAGCAAAACGTATCCCAAGAGTTTTAAGTAAACAATTAAGCACGAGACACACAAATGCAAAACGTCTTCTTCTCTGTGGGATTGAATATTGTGACAATTTTAATGTGATAATTCAGACCAATGAAAGAAAGAAAGGATATAAGACAATATAAATTACCACTTCACAATTGGCATGCCATTCAAGAATTTATTTCAAGGCTACGTATGATTCCAGGGAGAGTTCTCCTCCACAGACTTTTTAAAACGAAACTGCACCTAGTTCTGAGTATTGCACTTGTTTAAGCAAACGTGTGCTTGTTGTGAGTTATGGATCACATTAATGAACTCCAAAGTAACACGCTGTCAATGGGAAGATATTGGGATATCTTTATATTATATTATATTATATTATATTGGGACTTGTCTCAATGTACATTATTAACTGAGATTGAAACTTTATCTAGGTCAAAACGTCCTCCATTATAACTGAATGGAATGGTAAATCAGAAGGCTGTCCACTTAATATTAATGCTTCCATTTATGATGAGATTCAGCAGGAAATGAAGAGGGCCAAAGTGTCCCAAGCATTATTTGCTAAAGTTGCAGCATCAAAGAGCCAGGTAAGGCTGAGATGTTGTTTTGTACAGTAAAGATGTATTGATGTTCGGGCTAATTGTTCTACCCATTGCATGTTCATTTGTTTTTACATTATAAAAAGGAAATGTTACTTCACAGTAGATGGCACAAATTATCAAGAGTGTTGAAAGTAATCATGAACCAGCTAGTACTGTCTAATTATTGGTTTCTGACAGTTGATCACAAGCACATGTGGTATTTTGATTTTTTTAAAAATAAGGTTATTTTATTCTGCCATATTTGTCTCCTTGTAAAAAAAACAGTCATTGCTCCTTTATGTGAGAGTGTGGCGTGATTAGTGTGACAGATTTCTTCATGACTGCTTCAAATGATTCAGCAATTGGGTGGCACTGGTAGGACAGGCGCAATAATGTCAGTGTTTCCTCTTGAGTTCAAACACTTATCCTCCACCTAGCTGTGCACATAGGCCCTGGCCAAAGTTTCCCAACTAATCTGAGTGAGTGCACCCTTGGGAGTTGGGATTTATGGTTTAATGCTGTGGTGTTAAGTGTTCAAGAACTGTAATGGACCCCTTCTATCTTCTTCCTGTGTTTTCCTGTCACACATTAATATATCCAGTGAGTATATATAGATAAGCTTTAATCTCATCATATTTAAAAAAGAATGTGACAAAAAGCAAAGGGTGTTTAAATTTAGTATTACCTTTCCTATTATAACCTTGCAGCACAGTGTTTCCCTGACTGAAATTTCTAAAGTTGTGAGTCAGTCAGATTTGCCTTCTACATATGGTGTTGCTGACATCTACACTTCTTTCCCCAAATTAAAAATAAATGACACTACAGGGGAGGGGGTGTCCACACAGGGGTAGGTCTAGTGCCATGAAAAACAGAAGCAGCTGAGTGAATGAGAGGTGTGGAACTTCTCATTCCCAAAATGAAATATTGCCATGTTAGCATAAGTACTGTTGACTGAAAATAAACAGAAACTGAGAAGTGGCCTGGTAGCTTTGCAGTAGGGCCCTGACATCCAAAATAAATTAATATGGGCTCCCAGGGGCAGAATGAGTCGGTTTTTTCCCCCTTTTAAATTCAACTTCCACAGATTGGAAAAGTTTAGTCAATTCTCTGCCGAATGCTATTGAAGGGATTCAAATTAGCAAAATGCTGCTTAAAGTGGAATGGAGAAGAAGCCATGACAGTCTCCCCATAATGTGAACAAACACATACCTCCTGTTTCGATGATAACAGAGCAGCGTTTTTGCAGAAATCCTGTGGCCGTGCAATCCTGCTCACTGAAGCAGGGCTCTGTCAAGGTTGGATAACGTAGGGAACAATCTGGGCTGTGCACAAACATAGAATAAAAATATAGCTGAGAACAGTTGTATGTTTTATATTATTTTGGAAATATGTATTTTGTATGAATGTGAAGCATTGTAACCAGTCTGCTTGTGACAAAATAAATTAGATCTTCGGCGGCATGTTGCTGTGTAATAGGGGACCTAATCCTTATTACCGGTTTGTTGATGCAAAAACTCCTTCAAATTGACCATTTCAACACATGGTTTCCCCTGAAACTAGCTGTGATAATTAGCGTAGGTCTAATGAGACAGAATGTCACTGATCCTGTGCTGAACTGTTGTGTATCAACGCCGCAGACAAGAACTGTCAAGCCTGCCATCTGTGACAAGTCCTGTGCAGGCCTGGCATGTTAAAATTGCAGGCTTGTGCATGCTCACTAGAGTGTGATGAACCAATGGCCTATCCTCATCTTTGCTAAAGCTGTGTTGCGTATTTTTTCCTCTGGCAGACCACACAGGGGCTTGTTCTGAAGAACATTTTCACTAATCTGATCAGTCAGCCAAATACTTCGGGAAAACTGCTTTAATGATCCACTAATTACCACAAGTCAATATGAACTATATTATTAGTCTGAGGGAAAATATTCCATTAGGTCTCCCTCTTGGGAATCCCTCTGCTTTGTGATGTCACGGAGTCATAGCCTCTGCTTGTAATTAATTTTATTTACACACGCAGACTCAGAAGGTCACACCTGCACAACCCAAGTCAACCAGGGAGCTGGTGGCACTCAGGTTTAATCAGATCTGTCATAATTACCATTATGCATGTTTCTGACACACGCTGTGAAATATTTCAATTTAACTGCCGCTAACAGAAGAACCAGATGTACTGTGAGTACAGCAGTACTGGAAATATTATTCCTAAAGATAAGCTTTCCCTTTCCTCTGTAGTTAATGTGCCACAGTAGCTGAAATATCCAGTAAATTATGATCTCGAAAGCAGAGTAGGGTTGATAACAGCCGATTAGACAGTTTAACCACAAACAGCTTGTTCATTTTTCAGAAATGCAAACCACATGTTCTAAATAATTATGCATTTCCTGGGTATTTTACAACTTATGTTACTTGTGTTCCTATACTATTGATTTGCTCTTCTGTTTCTGGGTATTTTTGTAAATTAATCTTGCAGAATTGATGGACAATCGAAACATGCTCTTGTGGCTGTGGTTAACCCTTTGAATGCCTGGGCAAGTTTCCTCCCCCTACCTCCCCTACCCCGATCCTTTGCATAATTTAGGTTACTCGTGGAATAGAGCTCATGAAGAACTGTATTCAGTTCTGTATCACTCTCCAGTTTTCCTACATGCAATTTAACACCAGAAATAAACACTTACATTTTCAGATGTAGCAGACCTCGTTTTAAAAGCTGCAAAGGAATTGCAGTAAAATGGCTTTTCAGGGCACCTGTCAGCAAGACTTGCTTTTTGATCCGTTTCATCAGTTAAACAGCTTTTATTCTTCTGAGCATTTATCATTGATATTTAGGTTAGCAGCTGACTACAAGAGAAGAGTTAGTGGGGTTTTCTCACCTGGTGATAATTATAAAACTGACAACCAGAATGCAGGTATTAAGTTATATTTGAGTAATATTTATACTTTGTAATTTCAGATATAAATAGTAATCCTTGTGTTAATATAGCACCAACCGCCGATACGTTTTAAAGTACCTTGCAGGATACTTTAAAGTGGAGTGACTGTATTTGTAGACTAAACTAGGTTTAATGTGATGATATCAGTGGAGTAAAAGGTGCAATTTAACTCATTATTGTGAATGGGAAATCCAATCAGTCTGAGATCATGCTCAAATTCTGAACAGTTATAAATTCAGAGGTGAATCAGTTACAATCTGGTCAAACCTTGTTGCATACCATCAGACTCTGGGTTCCAGACAGAAGACGGTACATGTTTGCCAGTTATGCTGTAACTGAACAGGAGATACAGCAAAGTCAAAAGAGGAAACTTTGCCCAAAGGGTGGGGTCCATAGGCTCCAAATATGTTTAGACCTATCAGGAAAATCATGTAAATGGAGGTTTGGTTTGGTTCAGGTCCTACCTTTCACACCGCCTCCACTCGCGGCAAACGGTTTCTCCTCCAGCCCCCGCACTGTCTCGTGCGGTGTTCCTCAGAGCTCTGTCCTCGGTTCCCTCCCTTTCACCCTCTACCTGCTCCCCGTTGGTGACGTCATCCGCAGACATGGGGTAAATTTCCACATATATGTGAATAACACCCAACTCTACCTCTCTGCCTCCATCCTGAACTCCAGGACTACTGAGGTCCTGACCGACTGCCTGTCTGACCTCAAGTCTTGGACGAAGGCCAACTTCAACGTCAGCAAGACCAAGGCCCTCCTGATTGGCTCGCGCCAACGCCTCTGCATCTCGGGCGCTGGCAGCATCAGCCTCCACGGCTGCACACTCAACCTCACTAAGCCAGTCAGGAACCTGGGTGTCTTGTTCGACCCTGAACTGTCCTTTCTCCCCCACATCCGCACCATGACCGGCACTGCCTACCACCACCTCTGCAACATTGCTGGACTCTGCCACTGCCTCACCCCTCAGGCTGCCAAAACCCTCACCCACGCATTTGTCACCTCAAGGCTCGATTATGGAAATTCCCTCCTCATCAGTCTTCCCAACTCTTCCTTTCACAAGCTGCAGATCATCCAAAACTCTGCAGCTCGTATACTCTCACGCATCAGGCTCGGGACCCCATCACTCCCACCCTCGCCCGACTCCACTGGCTCTCCATCCCCCAGAGGATCGAGTTCAAGATCCTCGTCCTCACCTTTAAGGCCATCCATGGCCTTGCTCCCTCCTACCTCTCTGACCTGCTGACTCCCTACCAACCTGCTCGCTCCCTCCGTTCATCAGGCTCAGGCTACTCCCATGTCTCCCGCCCGACCCGCCCTACCATCGGTGGCCAGGCTTTCAGCCTCTCTGCCTCCACCTTTTGGAACTCATTCCCGCAGTGCTTTCGCCTCGCTCCCTCCCTTGGCTCCTTCAAGGGACGACTCAAGACCCTCCTTTTAGACCCCTCTCCTGTAACTTTGCATTGGGCTCTCCATTTTGCCCATGAGCAGAAGTGTTGTATCTTGTACTACAGGATGGATTGCTGCAGGTGTGTCAGTGTCTGTAGAAGCAGCTGCCTGAAATACTGTGTGCGGAGGGAATGCACCTGAAATGCAAAGTCCAGAACACTGAATGATTGAGAACATCAACAGGAGAATAGGATGGGTTGGGGTTTGTATGGACTATAAACACTTTTCTTCTATTTGTACAAAAGCAAATGGAAATAGTTCTAAACCTGTTATAAGTGGATACATGATTGAAAAAGGATATGATTGTTAAGTGAGTAAAAAATCACAAGTCATTTTAATTTTAAAACTAGTTGTTGAAAACCTGCTTTCAATTTGGTAAGATTATTTTGCTTGTCCTGCTGCAGGCAATTGATAAACAACAACATGCATTTAAATAAAGTAGCACCTTTCACAAAGGGAAATGCCTCAAACAAAGGGGAATGCAAAATGCAAGACTATTCAAGTGTACTAATCCCAATGTTTAGTAAGTGCAAATTCAAAAGTACATTTGCTAAAGATAGCTCCAGTAAGTGTCTCAAAGTGTTCTTTTGTGTGTGGGGAGGTTAGTGGGGAGAACCAGCTTTTCATT